GGAATGTACTACAATAAAGGAGGCACAACTTTATGAATTAAATGTACTTGCTTCTGAGTTATTATCTAATCCACTGAGCTGATGTCTCTACAGTTATTAAAGCCCAAAGCAAATCACGGAAGTAACTCTAAGAAGCAACCTAGCTGCCAAGCCTCTACTGACAGTTGTGTTATAAAAGCTCCAAGTACAAAAAATCAGAAACCGGAGCTAAAAGGTAGATCAAAAGACCAAGCAGAAACATCTCAAGAGACAAGAGAGAACAGTGAATATACTAACACTGCCACAGGGCAAAGCTTTTCTAACATACTGCCACAGCCTAAAACGCCAAGCCATCTGGGTTTTAGCCACAGCTGCTATCATAGTGAAGGCACACTGACATACTTAACCATGTTATCTATTTGAAATTCATATATGCAAGGTAGTTCCTTTTAGGAAGTAAACAAAGCATGAACAGGTGCAGAGGAATAAATTAGTAAGATATGAGATACCAGCCCTCGTTCCATATGATAAAGATATTTTGTTCCAGTCTTGCATGAAAGTCCACCATGAATCTGAATTCACACTGGATTTTAAAAGAAACCCACTAATCCTAGCCATCAAGACTGAAGGAAGAGTGAATTCTTTAGAACTCAAGTGTTTATCATGCTAGTTTTCCATCTAAAATATTCACCGAGTATGGTGTTCTGAATCTTATTTTATTCCCCTACAATTCTGTTTTTGATCTTTTTCATGCTATTTTTCTCTCAGCCATCTGAGATTGCTCTAATACCTACTTCCAGTTATCATTTAATTATTTTTCCCCATACCCCCATGTCTTTATCAAGTTCTATCATTTTCAATACAGCTACCACATCTTCTCTTCTTCAGCCCTTCCAGCCAACCTGTCAACTAGTCAACCTTCTCACAAGTGGAAAGTGAAACAGGTGGAAGTGTTCTCTCAAGGAAGTGGGTCTAAAATCATTAAACTTTTATATTTAAAACCTGCATTTTAAATTGAGTTAGGGAACACAAGGACAATCAGTTTAGCTGGAACAATATATGTATCACATGAGCCAGCATCTTATCCCCCAGCAGTATTCAGCAGCAATATTCTGCAGTGACCCATGTTCCAGAACCTTTTTCAAAAGGCATTATACTGCCACCCTAGATACCATTATTGTGTGGACAGCAGAGCTACAGTGACAATGCTCCATATCGGGTACAGCTGGCACGGCAAGCTGAGCTGCTTAAAAGCAGCTGTGCTACAACTGTAACTTGAGCTTGCCCAGTTAAAGAAGTGCTTGAGAGAATTCCCAAACTGCAAAGAAACCAAAGCAGCTGTTGTTTCCAAATCTTTCATTTTCAAAGTATTTTGGATGATAATTCTTAACCAAGGAAAACTCTAAAAAATGGTGGACAAAACATCTTACTCCTATTCCATTTATCATATTTTAGAATGTTTTTTGATAAAGGATTATTACCTGAAAAGTACCAGGAATAAAACTTTAGAGCAACAAAGGAAACAATCCATGGTCCCAGTGTTTTTGAGTCAAACATGGATCATTATGAAAAGTACAGACCTATTACGGACCACTTGCAAAACTTTCAAAAGTAAATTTCACTTCTCTTCAAAGAACTGAGACTTGTTTTGATTCAGTTTCAACTCACCCATCCCAAAACAGACTATAAACATGAGTTCAAAAGTTCCATACCTTCCCTGTAATTAGTAAATGAAAAATAGAATTGAGTATCAACTGTCCAAATCTCTGGATGATTTT